GCCCATTCTTCATAATTATCACCGTTTAGTTTGACTTGGGTGATAATTAATCCAGGTGTGTCTGCGTTCTTGAGTTCGTAAGAACTTCCCTTCGTAGGGATTTTTTCTTCCTCATCGAAAAGCTTGCCGACGAGATTTTCTTCTACTTCTGCCATGTCGACGGTCGAGGAGGATAGTCCGGCGGTCGATGTCGGTGATCCGGCGGAAGACAGGCTTGAACCGGCGGAGGATGGTGATGGACTGTCGTATGTCTAGATTAGGGTTTTTCTCTAGGAATCTTGCTCCGATACCATGAAGAAAATAATAAGAGGGAAAATATTCTGTATATTGAATTGTTCTGCTAAGTACAAGGAGTTTCTCCTTTATTTATAGGAGAGGATAAAGACCAAAACACAAAAGGAATTCTATTCCTACAAGGAAACAAATCACTAAATATGAACAAGGAAACAAATCAAGAGCAATCCCACTTAGAATGGGATTTGCTCTCCTTCTTGCCGTGTGGTCCAAGGAGCACCGCACAACACATTTCAACCTCAGAGTGTGAGCGATTATCTTTTGTGCACAAAAGGAAAAGGGCGTATTGGATCAAAGTTGAGCTTGGAGCAACTGATCGAGCCCGCCCTTCTTCCTCCCGCGCCCATTTCTGGGTACATTAGAGGGATTGCAACCAAGACGACCGAGATGATAATAAGCGACTTGTTATCTGAAACTGCTCGGATCCGAAGATCTTCTCAAGGCGAATTTGAGAGTTTGAAAAGCTCTGGTGATTCGCAACATGATAATGTGTGGGATATTAAGGAGAGGTGGGCGTCGAAGAGAAGAAAGGGAAGGGATCGTAGTGGTAGAAGATTGTCCTTCGATGATTCTTCCAAGTGAAAGATTTTTTGTATGATGAATTTTTGTATGGACCTAAGATTTATATAAGAAAGAAACATGTATCTTCTCACATAAATAATATAAGAGTAAATTATTATGGAGTATAAAGTGTATAACAATTTGTACTTTTGTATTATTTTATTGATTTGTAATTTGCTCCACTTGAAACTTGAAGGCTTATCCTCTTTTTTTCACAAAATCGCTACAATAACCTTGATACTGCTTTCGTCTCGATGTGTTTGTCTACTTTTGATTTTTTACAATTAAATTAGACAAATTTTGACCGTCAATTTTAACTACAACATTACTGTAGTGTGGTGGCAACATCAAAGTAAGAAGGATCGTAGTAATCTTATTTTACTAAAAAATGAATAAAAACATATTTTAGTGAGTCAATATTGCGATCTTTTTTTTTTCTCCTTACCATATTTTAGTTGGGATTCTTTTTGCATTTGAAAATTGAAGACTGGAGTAGAATTTTAAGAAATCTTAAATTTGGACTATGATATAATTTGATAATAATTGATATTATTGAATAATAAATATATTCATCAGTATATATAGATAATAAGAAATTATGATAACTCCATCAAAAAAGAAAAGAAACTACGGAGTATGATAACAATAAAATAAAGAAAGAAAAGTTATTATCCTTAATGAGTTTGAGACTGTGGATAAGGATAATTACAAATGGATGGCTGGCAATGGAGGAGAGAAGAGGAGAGAAGATCGATCCTGGAAAACTAACCACTAGTAAATAAATAAATAAATAAATGTATAAAGCTCCAAAGTAAATTACAGACAAAGAAGAAAAAGAAATGGAAGCACTGTTCTCCTCTCAGTGTCTCCTTCCTCCTCCCCTTCCAGCAGCTCCTGGCCACAGAGAAAGAAGAAACAGAGGTTTTCTGCGACAGAGAAGAAAGTACTCACCCACTGATGATGATGACGTTTCTCTCGCATTGCCATTGCCAATGGAGATGAAGGCCTGGGTTTACGCAGAGTACGGAGGCGTGGAGAAGATGAAGCTCGAAGAGAACATCGGGGTTCCAGAGATCCGATATGATGAAGATGATGTGCTCATCAGAGTTCGCGCCGCCGCTCTCAATCCCGTCGATTTCAAGCGCCGGGAAGGCAAGTTCCGGGCCTCCGATTCCCCTCTCCCCGTAAGTCATCAGAGTTCGTGACCCCACCGAAAGAAGAAAAAAGAACTTTAATGTGTCGTTTTGTTTTCTTTTTCTTCTTCAGACGGTGCCGGGGTATGACGTTGCCGGAGTAGTGGCCGGAGTCGGCAGCGGAGTGAAGGGGCTGAAACGGGACGATGAAGTTTACGGGAACATAAACGAGAGCCCGCTGGAGGGGCCGAAGCAGTACGGGTCCTTGGCTCAGTACACTGTGGCAGAGGAGAAGCTCTTGGCTTTGAAGCCAAAGAATCTCACTTTTGCACAGGCCGCTTCTCTCCCTCTCGCTTTGGAGACCGCCTACGAGGGCCTCCAAAGGGCCCGGTTCTCCTCCGGGATGTCTATACTCGTCTTGGGCGGGGCCGGAGGAGTTGGGTCTCTCGTGATTCAGGTATTCCCTCTGTTTCTAAATAAACTTTACATTAACTGTTCACCTGTCAAACAATATCATTTTTCTTTAGTGGTTTATTATGATAATAATTTCGTAAAATTAAAATGATCTTGGAATAGATTTTTTTTTTGGGAATTTGTTTTTAAATACGTAAATTTTATTGCTAAATTTTACACCAATTTGTAGCTGGCAAAGAATGTATTTGGAGCATCAAAGGTGGCAGCTACATCAAGCACACCAAAACTGGAGCTGCTGAAAAGCTTAGGTGCTGATTTGGCTATTGATTACACCAAGTCAAACTTCGAAGATCTGCTAGACAAGTTTGATGTTGTCTATGATGCAGTTGGTATGTTTCTTATTTATGAAAATATGATGTTTTGAACAAAGATTAGAGTCAAGAAAGATAAGATTTCTCAATAATGAGAGCAAATATGTATTTTTAGTATTATATATTTGAAAATGCAGGGCAGGGGGATAGGGCAGTTAAGGCGGTAAAGAGCGGAGGGAGCGTGGTGGTACTAACCGGTGCGGTCACGCCTCCCGGGTTCAGGTTCGTCGTGACCTCAAAAGGAGAAGTGCTGACTAGGCTCGCCCCGTTCCTAGAAAGTGGGAAGGTGAAGCCAGTGATAGACCCCAAAGGTCCATTCCCATTTGACAAAGTTGCAGAAGCATTTTCTTACCTCCAAACTGGCCATGCTACAGGCAAAGTTGTCATATATCCCATTCCATGACAAGTAGTGTATACATACAATATGACTCTATGAGGAGGAATAACAAAGAAACCTGTAAAAATTATATTCCATGTCTATATTATAATGTAACACTTTAGTTCTTAGCAGATCTTACACAAGTGTCTGCAAAGAAAAACTTGTGGCAAAAACCCAAAAGTTTAGAGATCCATTCGCAAAGTCATGATGTCCACCTTTGAGGGAAAGAGTTTTCTTTGCCACAGCTTTTCTCACAAAAGGGTATGTATGTAAATTCACAAATGCATTCACAACCTCCTGTGAAATCACAAAAGATATCTTAAAATCTAAAAATTTGATCAAAACACATTTTATCTCTTCATTGTAAGACACTGGAATCTTATTTGATTGAAAATGTTGCATTCTATGGTACCAAAAACTGAATTAAGGTATTAAAAATATACATATCGAATAGTTTCGATACCATTTGAATTCAACAACAACAACCCAATATAATCTCAACTTCTATAGGATTAATATTACCCATGTAGAAACAGAGAACCCATTTGCGTTACACCCTAGAAGCATTGACTTCCCAACACTTCACATAAACGAAGTATGATGTTCCATTTTAATTTAGTCCATGATGTGCCCAAAACTAGAACATTGTCAATAATGACTTTTTTTGGAACATAATGACTCTTTTTAGTTCCATTTGAATCTCACTAGCTCCACAGAAAAATGTTTGCTTTCGTTATACAACATTTATAGCCTAATTTACTTGTTTGTAATATATGTTTTCCCATAAGAAAGAGGCATTAGTGGATAAAACTAAAAATAATCACTTTAGGAGTTTATATCTTGTCAAACTAAGCTAGTAATAGTAGTATACAAACTTGCTAAAATGTTCAATCATATCTTCTCACCCCAACGCCTAGTTCTTTTGAAAAATGCAAATAATTCAACTCGTATTTCAAACGTAGGGGTGAACATGCGCAAAAAAGAAGAAGTAAAAACCAGTCGAAATGCACATTCCAAGACAAACAACATCCTTTTAAACACGCGAGTTGTAAGTTGAAGACGATTTTCACTCACCATTAGGCGCTCCATTTCCCTTTCAGACAACTCTGAATAGCTTTTGCTGAGGCCACGTTTGAATCCCTCAGATTGATTTCTTTCTCAAGCTTCCGAACATTCTCGGACAACAAGCCGACTTCACGGTGGGTCAAGTCGACCAATTTATTGGCAGTCTGCAACGCGGAGCACAGTTCCAGCGTGAGAGCAGTCCACGAATGATCAGTGCCGGCAAGCCCCTCTTTCAGGTCCTCATACTTTTCCAGAAAGATCTTGGTGAGATTTGAAGCTTTGAAACCTGGATTGGATTCCTTAAAATCCGGACAGTTGAGGTCACCGCCGGTAGGGGAGGGGATGTTACAGTCGCAATTGGACCCGTCTTCTTCACCAATGTCACTAAGCAGATCGCCTATGCACAACAAAGGACCTCCTGCTCCCATCGCCATGGACATTCAACTGGAACCAGTTTTTCAAGATCTACAGTAAGCAGATGGGATCGGGCCGATCCGTGTTATATGTAAAGTTAATCCAAATTGGCAATTAAACCACACAGAATTTCCAGATATACGCATTCAACAACAGATCTTAACCCAAAGAGATCAATGAAAATTGACTCACCTTTTTGGCGCCCTGACTCGCAGGTCGTGGAGTATCCCCAAATTGGCGCTAGGGTTTAATCCCGCGGACAGGTGAGCGTGGCTGTGGTGGTCGAGTGAGAGGGTTATCTCGCCGGACGCTTGTGGCCGTCAACGTCGAACGACGATTCGTGATCAGCAGGAGGAGGAAATTGCTCTAGGGTACTTTTTTTGTTTTCTAATAATTCACGGTCCCACATTATGTTAAAAATATTTTGAGGTATCCTAATTTTTTGTTAAAAAATTATCAGTTTCTACATTATCTAAATTATATTTCAAAGTCCTAAAATTTGTGGCAATATACTCCAAAAGTACATTTTGTCTATATGGCCGTTATGATTGAAAGTTCTTTTACTTTGACAAATACTAAATTTTACACTGATCATCATAATTTTATAAAATTTATATAAAATGCTACAATTTCCCTAAAGTAAAAGAACTTTTAATCTTACGTCTAAATAGAGAAAATGTATCATCTCACTAAAATATCACAAATTTTAAAGAACTTAGAATATATTTCAGATAATGTGGGATATAGGGTTCTTACAAAAAAAATCGAGGATATCGCAGAGTACATTTCAGATAATGTGGAACCTGAGAGTTATGCTCAGAAAATCAAGAGTATCCAGAAGTAATTTTTTGAGCAGGGAGACTTTAATTTTATTATTTTCATGTGCGACAAAGTTGAAGGAAATTTATACTATGTTTGGTTAAAAGAATTTGTGAGAGAAAAGAAAAGAAAATAAAAAGGAAATATTTTTCTTGTTTGGTTAGAGATGAAAAGAAAAGAAAAGTGAAAGAAAAAGAAAAAGAGAAGACAAAATATACTAAGAGAAAGAAAAACCAAATTCCTACCATTTTGGTGAGGAAAATGAGGAAAAAGTCGAAAAACCATTTTGTTTTCTTTTTCTACCAAATTCTTTAAACCAAACACTGTTAAGAGATTAGTGAATGTAGTTTACTCAAACAGAGTTGAGAAAGGATAAAAATGTCATTTCAGACTAACAATCACATAGGTTTTTCCACTAATTGGGTTGAGAAAGCATTGCCCTTATTTTTGTTTTGTTTTTTTAATAGAACTCCTCGTTACTTCATTACGTCAAAATCCAAAGCATCACAAATATAATCTCGAGATGAATATTCACTCTAAACAATGAGGCATAGAATCAGATACTTTAGCCATCAAATGATCAACCTGATTTGCTGACTTTCTTACAATCGCCCATGAGACTTAAAAAAGTTCAACTTTTAATAATAAACAATCAGATATCACACCTGTAAAATAGGAGAAATCCTGTGTTTGCTTGTAACGTCCGAAAAACTGTCACACTATGCACCTCCACTTTAATTGGTTGACAAGCATAGTTCCCTTTGAGCCACTTCAACACTTCTCGAACGCTCATTGTCTGGACCATTAGTGTATGCTCCTTGAACAAAGCATTCATATGTAAACCTGGCAATCAGGTCAATCGGTTCGGTTCCAGTTCGGATCTTTTCGGTTCAGGTCTCATTCGGATATATGTTATAATCGGTTCGGGTCGGTTCGGTTTGGGTGAGTTCGGTTCTGGGTTTATTTCGGTTTGACTGGTTTTCGGTTTCGGTTCGGGTTTGTATTGGATCGGATTTATATCGGTTCGGGTTTGTATCGGTTTGAGTTTATATCGATTCGGGTTTGTATCGATTTAGGTTTATATTAGTTTATATATATTTTAAATATTTACTAATAAATCAATAATATCACATAATAAATTTAATCAATTTATGATATACTCCGTAGTTATTTTATTATTTAACACGGGCGTACATAAAATTTAATCAATTTCGGGTCTAATCGGTTCTGGGTTTAACCGGGTTCGGGTTTTATCGGTTTTGGTTTAATCGGATTCGGATCCGAATCGGTCTGAACACATTCGGTTCGATTTCGGTTCGGTTCGGATCATTTCGGGTGCTCGGTTCTATTTCGGTTCTTTAGTTTTTGGGTAAGATCGGGTTCGGTTCCGGGTTATTTAGTTCAGGTTATCGGGTTCGAGTCAATTTTGCCAGGTCTATTCATATGCGACTCGAACCACCATTCCCACTCAAGCCCTTTTCGACTGCAAATGGAAAGTTGCATCCCCGTTGCATTTGAGAGTTTCGCGGGTCGAAGTCTTCCACCTTCACTGCTGCGCCCCCGGGGCTGATCCACCTGTAACTATCATCACTAAGAGCAGTGGCAGTGGCGAGGCATTTGCCTCCCACGCCCTGCCACATCATACTTTTGCCTTGCTAAGCATGACATATCCTCACCGTGTCACTTGCTTTCCATGGCATATGCAAGGCACCCTATTACTTTTTTTTTTCTTTTTTTCTTTTTCTTTTCTTGATTTGTTTTGACAAATAGAAAGAAACTTTTTTGAAGGCATTATACCCTAAAATTGGTATATTTTGGCGTTAATAAGGCTTTTGTTTGCGTATTTTTTTCATTGTTCAATTGATAAAATAAAATATTTTTTTAACAATTGTTTTAAAAAACTTTGGATAAAATATATAATTTATACTCTTTATTTTCTTGTCAATTTGCAAATAATAACAATTTAAAAGAGATGATCTTTTACAAGTTGTTCGAAAGAGAATAATTTTTTGGGGACGATGGAGTAATTTTATACTCCATTTGGCCAATGCAACTATACTAATAATTTTTTTCAATTTAAGTTTTCACCATTTCAAAAATTTTACAAAATAAGCAGCAATAAGAATAATTTATTTTATTAAATATACCATGAAAAAGGGAAGCACAAAAAATGTTATCAAAAATCTAAAATAGTAACTATGACATTTTTGGGAACGAAGAGAGTATAAACGAAGTAGAATTATTTTTTATAAAAAATATTAAATAAAATAAATATTAATAATTAAATACATAAAATGTAAAAAAGTGACAAAGATAATGACTTACCACTGCAATGCATGCCACTCCATGCTCTTGCCACACGATGACTGGACTGTTTTCTATTGATTGAAATGTTCCACGTCAACGTGTGACATTCCATTTTTTGCCTTGTCATTGTCCATGCTCTAACGCCCTTGGTTGGATTGTTTTGTATTATGCCACACCAATTGATTCTTTTGCGCCCACACTTCCCACATTACCATAACCACCAACTAGGTCCAAAGCTCACCAGCATAAGCTAGAGGCCAAGTCATATGAACATACACAAGTAAAAACTACTCTCTTTGTCTCAGTATATTTGTCCAATTTGACTTTTTCGAATCAAACAGAGTGAACTTTAAGCTTCAATTAAACACAAATTGTAATGTATATTTGTATAAAAACGTTTTTATTATATTTATTTAGTTGATAACTTTCACAATTTTTTAATTATACTAATATGCAATGCAAAATAAGAGTAATTGAAACTCATAGTTTGTCTAGTTTGATTCGAAAAAGTCAAACTGGACAAATAAAATGAAACGGAGATAGTACATACTAAAACTCACATGACTATCCATCTACTTTATTTCTACTCTAGTTGAGTAAATGATACTCCCTCATCCCACTGCTTTTGGAACATGAGGAAGGGTCATAGAAATGAAAAAAAATAAGATAATTGGTTGATATTATAGTTGAAAAAAGATAAAATAAGAATAAAGGTAAACCACACACATCTGACCAAATAGGATACTTATGTTTCAAGAATGGTGAGGCGAACAGAAATGATAAAAAAGGAGACGAAAATAGTGGAATTGAGGAAGTATGATATAAAAATTGTACAATAAACAAAGCTGAACAATTGAAAATCTGTCCAAACATCTCACATGGTATGTAATATTGTGCAAATCTACGAAAAACTCGATATATTCTTTGCAAGAGTAGGGTCTAAAGACAATGTGGTGTATGTAATTTGCTTATTCATAATAAACTTGTGAAGATTATATGCTATGTCCAGATTATATTGTAACAGTTGTGTAGCCTTTAGGTAGCATTCTTTGTGTATGACTTTTACACAAGTGCCTGCAGAGAAAAACTTGAGGCAAAGTGGCTAAAACCCAAAAGCTTAAACCTTTAGAGAAGGGGTAAGGTTGAAGTCAAGGTTCCATAGCTCAAAAGATCCATTCACAAAATCATAGTGTCCTCCTTTGAGGGAAAGAGTTTTCTTTGCCACAGCTTCTCTCACAAAAGGGTATGTTAGTAAATTCCCCAATGACACATTCACAACCTCCTGCAAAATCACAAAAGATATATATTAAAAACCCAAAACAACTCTTTGTTGTAACAAAATGGAGCCTTGTTTGATTGAAAATGTTGCATTCTATGGTACACCAAAAACTGAGTTGAGGTATATATATACATATACTGTCCAAAATTTCACACAAAGATCAAAGAGATTAATGTTCTATTTTTTATTTAGTCAATTATATATGTCTCGAGAGTAGAACGAACGTTGTTAATAATGACTCTATTAGTTTAATTTGAACGCAACAAAGAAGAAACGCCGCCACAAGTTACCTTCTCCAACATGTTGCATTGGGCATCGAGGTCGAGATCGTTGCACTCCGATTTCACCTTCGTCTTTGCATTCAATCCGATTTTAACCCAATCCTCGATGAAAGCACTGCCATTTGTAAGGAAATCCGGGGATCAAAAATGTGGTTCGAAATAATTATTTTTACAAAATGATAGTAAGTTTTTAAACGGACCTCTTAGTGACCCCGTCCTCTCGAAGGGACATGAGACCTCTTATTCCCCCGCAACAGCTATGTCCCATCACTAAAATATTCTCCACCTGTGATGGGCTTCACTAAATTAGTTCACTTTTTAACATTTCAGTTCGAATTTTATTACAAAACAAGAAGTGACAGGAATATTTTATTTCATCAAATGGTCAAAGAAAACACACAAATAAACAAAAGTTTTCGTGGTTTTAGAATAGTAAAGTATGTAAATCATTTAAGGACAGAGACAGTAAGATTCAATTCAATCCAAACAGAGCATTATCCATTTTTAATTCGTGTCAAAAGAAAGTAGTTACCTTGAGGTGCAATACAGCATATTCTATGGCCGCCCCAACTCCGGAATACTTTGCCTAGACGCCCCATATATATGCACACAAATGGAATTAAATTACTTTCATAATAATGTGAATTAGGATTACGTGCACTACAAACATAATGTCCTATTTAATCGTAATGCTAGTTTTCGAGTATCTAGATACTCATTTTCGAGCATAACTAAATTTTAGGAAAATGAGTATTCAATTGTTCATAAATGGGTAATTACCGCGAATGTACGAAAAATGACATGCTAAATATATTGTG